GGGTCACAGCCTCGTTCATGTGTCTCCATCTACTCTGGCCTGGAGTCCTCCACAGGCTGCAGGTGGATATCTGCTCCCCCATGGCCCTCCATGGGCTGCAGGGGGACAGCCTGCCTCACCATGGTCTTCTCCAGGGGCTGCAGGGGAATCTCTGCTCTGGCACCTGGAGCACCTCCTCCCCTCCTTCTGCACTGACCTTGGTGTCTGCAGAGTTTCTCACATCTTCTCATTCCTCTCTGTGGGTGGAAAAGCTGCTGCTAGTTTGGTGGGTTTGTTTTGGTTTTTTGTTTGGGTTTTTTTTTTCCTTTCTTAACTCTTATCCCACAGGCGCCACCACTGTTGCTGACGGGCTCAGCCTTGGCCAGCAGTGGGTCTGTCTTGGAGCCATCTAGCACTGGCTCTATCTTCTTACAGAGGCCACCCCTGTAGCCCCCCCACTACCAAAACCTTGCCACACAAACCCAAAACACCCAGGCTCCTCTCTCATAGGAACTAGAAATAGATGCAAAGAAAGGTGGAAAAAACCAGACTTGCTTCCCTGAGGAAATGTCATGGACTGACTCAAGGAGGAGGAGATGACCCCAGCGTGGTCTAAAACTCTTCCTCCATGGATGCAGTTGGACCTGATGCCTGGCTTCTGCACCTCCCTAGAGTCTGTTCACACCTCTACCACATCCACCCCATTTGCTCCACTTCCTGGGGGCCAGGTAGATAGTGCTACCTGGACAGTAGGAACCCAACCGCATGCATTCGCCTCTAGCCCATCACCTAGAGATACTGCTACCACCCCAGCGCTGTCAGAAAGGGAAAAAGCACAAGGCATTCCCACAGCCGGTGTGAATAAATATATGTATAAACATGGACAGTCACTGCCACCTCGTGGAGATATGCATCTGTTACAATTTTGTCTTAGCCAGCTGCAGCTCCCATGCATTCTTCACCTTCCCTATCTGCCAACCTGGACCATCCCAGCTTTCCCTCTCCAGAGGGGGAAAAACTGTACTTCACCTGGATGTGCTTCCCCAACATCTGCACAAGACTTTTTCAAATTCCTCAAACTCATCTGCTTGATGCTTGGAGGCATCTGGCTGGGTATGCTTCTCACCTGCATGAAATCTCCATTGAAAATAGCAATGCCACAGGGTGGTTCAACCTCCACTCAGCTGAGCCTACTGCCTCCCCAGAGCTCCTTCTCAGATTGTTCTTCCTGCCATAGTTTTATGCTATAGGTCTTCCTCAATCTTGGTCTTCTGACTGAGAAAGACCTACAGATAAACTTTTCAGCAGCTGGGGTAGAGTTGGTATACAGTTACTGCTTCAGATGAAAAGCAGAGACTCTGTGCCATGGTCAGGCCCCTGCTCAGTCCTGCATTGCCTGTTGTGAGCATGTCAATGTATCAGGTTTACATGGGAAGGTTCTGGTAGTGGGGGGGCTGCAGGGATGGCTTCTGTAAGAAGACACCAGAAGCTGCTACCACATCAGACAGAGCCAGTGACAGCCACCTCCAAGAAGGACCTGCCACAGGCCAAAGCTAAGTCCTCTGTGATAACATACTTGAGAAAGGGTAAAAAGAAAAAGCTACACAACAGCAGTGGGAAGAGAGGAACGAGTATGTGAGAAAAAATATTACCCTGCAGGTGAGGCAGCCGGTCCTCCGTCAGCCCATGGAGGGCCATGGGGGAGCAAATATCCACCTGCAGCCTGTGGAGGACCCCACACTGGAGCAGGTGGAGACACCTGAAGGAGGCTGTGACCCCATGGGAAGTCCATGCTGGAGCAGGTTTGCTGGCAGGACTTGTGACCACATGGAGAGAGGAGCCCATGCCAGAGCAGGTTTGCTGGCAGGACTTGTGACCTCATGGGGGACCCACGCTGGAGCAGTCTGTTCCTGAAGGTCTGCACCCTGTGGACCACACACTGGAACAGGGAAGAGCATGAGGAGGAAGGAGCAGCAGAGACAACGCATTATGAACTGACTGCAGCTCATCCCCCTGCACCGCTCAGGGGTGGGAGGTGGAAGAGTCAGGAGTGAAATTGAGCCTGGAAAGAAGAGAGAGGTAGGGGAAGGCATTTGTAGATTTGTACTTATTTCTTATTATTCTACTCTGTTTAATTACAAAAAGTAATTTCCTCTAGTTGAGTCTGTTTTGCTTTTGACTAACTGCCAAGTGATCTCCCTCTCCTTATCTCAAGCCACAAGCTTTTCTATCATTTTCTCCCCATCCTGCTATGGGCTGGGGGGAATGATAAGAGGCACTGGTGGGCACCTTGCAGCTAGTCAAGGTCAACCCACCAGTCAGTCTCTTCCACCTCTCACCAAGGGTCAGGGACCAGCACTGCAAGAGTTAAGTCTAGTGAGGATTTCACAATCATATTCCTCAAGACAATTCCTTGGGTGGCTGAAAGTTGCAAGTCAGAGCACAGCACAGAGGAGCTGCTATGCCACAGTTTGTCAGCACTGGTAGAACAATACAAGTTGTTTTTTTGTTTTTGCTAGATCCAGCTAGTTTTGATGAATGAAGAGTAAGAGTTTAAGCATTATTAGAATCCTTCATGGGGGGAATCCAAGTCTAACTTCATTCAGGTCAAGGACAGAATGAGAAGCAGATGGTTAACTGGAGTTGAAGTTAGGCTGACTGCTGCAAGAGAAGATGTGGAAGAGATGTGCAGATAGTTAAGAGAATCCTCCCCAAGTGCACTATGGCAGTTTCAGAACACGGATGGAGTTCAAGTGTCACTATTTCACTGCAATCTAATCGTGCAGTTTTCTTGTCAACCCACTATGAGCCCTTGGCCCTTCATTTCATGATAGTCCTCTCTCATTAAGCCTAGTTATTCCAGCCATGTGTTCCAATTGCTGTGCTCAGGGAAGTGCTTCTCTTGCTGTTGGCCAGCCCACTATAAGAAAGCAAGCCATGTAACAGGCCTGCAGACAAAAACATCTCGCTCTACTGGTTTGACAGCAAGGCATAGATCCCAGCCATTTCACAGCCAAATGAAAGACTGCAGTCATTACCTGAGGGGCGGAGAACTTCTTCCTGAAGACAGAAGAAACCTTTATATGTTGTTTCCTCTCTGCCACGTACATCAAGTTTCTTCCAAACATTCAAGTCAATTGGCCACCTACTGCTTCCCTCTTAAAGGCATCTTGGATCAAAGCAGCCAGCTCTGTTCCTGGAAACAGCAGATTGTAGAGTTCAGATAGTGAATCTGCTGCACTACAGTGTGGCATATGGTAATACCGGTCTCACTCCTTCACATGAAAAACAAGCAAGCAAAAAAAAGCACCCACTGAGCTCTCCAGGGCATTACTTAACACCCATGTGGCATGGTGTATGGCCCATGTTTTTAGCAAGGCTACACATACTCGTTCCTTCTAGGGCAATCTAGACTTTGTTAAGGTTGAAACCCCATGTTCTTGCCTGTTAGAAGACATGTTCCCATACTGAACTGGGGTTGTCTCCTCCCAGCAGGGGCACTGTTGGTGCAGGAACTGAGACTCCTGACAGCTCAGCTAGCTATAACCATTAGGCTTTGCTTTCCACCACCCTGAATGACAAGGGCCAACTTCATACACCCAAATTCTGGCATAACTACACATTTGAAGAGACAATGCTTGCTGGTTCCTTTGAAGGGAAGTTTACCTAACACACTGATCCTCACTGTATCTTCCTCAGAGACAAGCCTTAAAGAACACCTCCTCTCTAATACAGCTATGCAAGTTATTTTCACCACACCGTGCCTCCATGCTAGTTCTTAGAACAGGAAGATACGCAGCCCAGGAAGCTGAAGCTCATTACACGTGTAAGAAATGCTTTGTGCCCTGAGTTTCATCACAAGAGTTATTCCAGCCTTTCTGATCTTTCCCAATCCTATCTTGAATTTCTAGTCACTTCTTTGTCACCTGGATCTTTCAAGGCTATTTCAGAGTGGCATCTTATTAAGGGAGTAAACAAAGCATAAAGTCAAACACATGTAAGCAGCATTTCCCATTAACTGCACCTTTCCCCTGCTGTAATAGGTTGTAACATAGTCTGTCCTCACCCCAGCAGAAACACTGAGTTGTAGCATACGTTGGATGGAGTCCAGAGGAGGGCCACAAAGACGATCAGAGGGCGGGAGCACCTCTCCTATGAGGACAGGCTGAGAGAGTTGGGATTGTCCAACCTGGAGAAGAAAAGGCTCTGGGGAGATCTAATTGCAGCCTTCCAGTACCTAAAGAGGGTCCTGCAGGAAAGCTGAAGAGGGACTGTTTATCAGGGAGTGTAATGATAGGACAAGGGGTAATAGCTTTAAACTAAAGAGGTAGATTTAGATTAGATGTTAGGAAGAAATCCTTTACTGTGAGGGTGGTGAGGCACTAGAACAGGCTGCCCAGAGAAGCTGTGGATGCCCCATCCCTGGAAGTGCTCAAGGCCAGGCTGGATGGGGCTTTGGGCAACCTGGTCTAGTGGAGGGTGTCCCTGCCCATGGCAGGGGGGTTGGAACTAGATGGTCTTTGAGGTTCCTTCCAACCCAAACCATTCTGTGATTCTAGGATCTTAGTAGCTGCCTCATTTCATAAGGATGAAGCTGGATGTTAGGGGCCCCTACTGAACTTCACCTGGACTTTTTACCAGTGATTTTTTTAAGCCTTTCTTGCTCCTAGCTACTGCCCAGAAGGAAGAAGCAGGCCACCCAGGCACTGCTTTTGAAAGCTGTATCCATTTGCAGATGGTGCGATGTCAGTGGTGCATTCTTGCTCCAGCTTCATGTTATTCTCTCCCCACAAGTGTTCATGGCACCACTTATGGTAGAGGTTTCCCACTTACCTGCATGAACAGCCATTTAAACACACAGCTGCACTCCTTAGTCCAATAGCCAGAGCTCCACAGAAAACATCTTGCATGCCCTTTTCATTGCATAATCACAACCCAGAGCTTACATCCAAGATCATCCTTGATGGCTCATACTCTACTAAAGGGTGTGGTCACTTCTTGGGCCTAGAAAAATCTTGTTTCAAATAGGGAACATATGCAGCAAGCTGTGGAAGGCCCACAGTCCAAAACAGCCAGGAAATTCATGCATGCTTGTGAAATGAGTGTAAGGCTGAGTCACATACAGGCTCCCTATCACAAAGGCAAGAGGCTCACCCATTCCTCATTGTCTGCATATGTAGCAGAAAGTCTTGCTTTTTCATCACTGATACTCAGAGCAGCACAGCTTACCTAGCCCTAATCATGGCATTAGGCATAGCTGCTAGCTACAGCCTTGCTTCCTTATTTACTTAATGCTTATCCGGGACTACACCCAGGCCAGGAAGAAAGCCATTTTGATATGGTGGAAGAACACAGCAGCTCTTGGTAACTCTGGGAAGAGTTGGAATTCTGGAAGAGAATCATATATAGGGGCTGGCAGGTCAGTGTTCATCTAGATAACCTGATGCAGGTTTGGACAACTGCAGAGGCCAGTTTACTGTCCAGCATACTCTAAGAATGCAATAGTGCAGTCAAATGAAGATGACAAGAACACAAATATAAATTATCTTAAGCTTAAGACACTGAATTTTACCTCTTCAATAACTTGTTGCAGACTATCGCCTAGGAACAAAGCGGCCCAACTCAGACTAAAAATACTTTGCTACTAATAGAACCAGAAGTTACATCAATGGCAAAGCAAAACTGAAAAGGCAAAAAGGCAACAGCTCCAAGCTCTACTTTACACTTCCATGGTAGAACTGGTATTATGTTCTGATACACAGCCAAGTCTTTGAAGTCTAAAATGAAGCTTCACAAGTTTTAAGAATCTTTATCTAAAAAGAGGTAACAAGAACCTATCCCACCAAGTGACCACTTTCTTTTATGTAACTCCTGAACTCCCCTTTCTGTATCTGCAAGCCAGACTGCTACTCTTCAGTGTAGCCTGGTGACTACCACCTGAGTAAGGTGGCAGCAGACTTCTACAGCAACTGTCATTGCTATCCCACACAACACAATTCCCCTCCCACACCCCCAGCAGTAACCCAGTAATAGGTCAGGTTGCATTTGAAAAGAGTCTTTGTATCCAGGCAGTATTCCTTTAACACAGCAAAACCTGACACTTGATGATATTATTAAATTCCTCACATTCATATTCAATCACAGGACAATATCCAAAAGTGAAGAATTTAAACTTTATTGTACTCATTTATAGATGTCAAGAGGACACCTTCCATGACGTAACCTAGCTAGATTGATTAGATGTTTTTTAATATAGAAAAGTTACAGGCTATAATTTAGCCGCAGCAGTCATGCTTCAATGTCTTGACGGCTGGAGATTAGACCAGACTTTTAATGGTCTCTTCCAACTTTTCTTTATTGGCCCCAGAGAACTCCTGCACCTGTAAAGACAGAATGATTTTTAGAACTGTTGCATTCAATGCTTCATAACATTACATGCATAGCATCCAGACACATACACATCTATTCAGTTCCCCTACAACTAGAATATTTTCACCTCCAAGAAAGGGAAGTATTTTGCAGATGTTCATCCCACTCAACTCATGCAAAAATTGGAACAAGAGTCTATCAAGAATCACTTCTAGACTACCACTGCTGGAGCCTTCTACAATTAAAACAAGGGAGAAGACAATTGATCCTGAACCAATGCTGTGTAAAACTCAAATAGAGGCCTGAACAGACTCTGGAGGTCATGATGCAACAGAGCAATTTTTTGGTTGCTGAGGACTCTTACTAATCAAATTCTGGAAGGATTACTCCAAATAACCTGTCTCTGAGCCTGGCTTCTCCTGAGAATTGTCCTTGTTGCAACTTACAGAGCAGAAAGACAACAGCAACACTCAGGTCTCAAGAACAGCAGCTGTCTGCCAGTACCTACTGCGCCAGGTACAGCAAACTACACTAAAGGCCACAAAACTACTTGCTTGATACTCATGTGTCCAGAGAACTCCTAAGGTCACCCAAAATAAAAAGCCACACAACAGGGTTAAGCATATCCCCTTCACACACTGTCACATCATAAAGACAATTCTTCTAATTACATTATGAAGCTGTGTAAGTTTATCCTGAGAAAACTGTCAAAAGTTCATTATTAGTCATGATTTGGCCTCATACAAATTAAGCTGAAAGTCACCCAACATCTGACACTCACTTTTCAAGGCACAATTCCACTGCATTCAGCCATGAAACTTCTATCCGGGCATTGTTTTACTTTAGAAAAGCCTACCTTCAGCTTGCTTGGCAAACTAAAAGCCTGAGATAACACACTGAGCTCAGCAATTTAGTTCAGGCAGATAGTCATTCACAACTACCCTGCACAGGTAGCCCACTATGCTGTCGGAGCATGGTCTGCATCCCATCTCACCCACCTCTTGGCCGAGCAGGCACAAGAGGTCCGTTCAGTCCTGAGGGACAGGACCTCCACTTCACAGGTTACACCACCCCTACGTAAATGCATCCAAGCAGTTATTTCAGCTGTGTGTATATTCAACCACATGTTAGAGACTTCCATTTGGGTGGGATTCCATTGGCACATGTAGTCATATCTCCACTTGAATACAAGCTGCATCCAGAGAACAAATACTAACCAAGCTCAGTAAAAAGCAGGCTGCTAGGTAGACAGTCTTAACTAAGACATCTAACCCCACTAATCTGTCATGAAGCCTGTAAGACTGATCTGTAATACTCAGTTCACTACCTATGAACAATAGCATTTTCTTCATCAGTTAACTGCTGGTCCATGTTACGAGTGCTGCAGCACTAAGATGAACTTACTGGCTCTTAATAGTGTCTTAATGCCAGTGGTGCCCCAGATACATTATCAAGAGAAAGCAGGCTATGTAGTCTAACATCCCAAACCTTCCTTCAAGTGTTTAATTTTCCTGCTCCAGTTCCAAGAGAGCAGAACCTACCTTCTTCCCATTCTTGTAGAACTGGAACGTTGGCATGCATTTCACATCACAGTGTGCAGCAACGTCCTAGAAGAGATAGAAAACAATCTTCAGCTGTGCAGCCTGAAGAAAATTAAGTTTAGAACCTACTAGCTGCCTTTTGTTTAGGTGACAAGGCAAAGCCATTACTGCTCAAATGAAGCAAAAGCACTTCTGGTAGTCCATCACTAGCAAACCCAGTGCAGTGGTAACACGTGACTGAAATAAGTCTGAAAGATGCTCCATTCAGCATTTAATTCATGCAATAGCAAAACTATATTTACTATACCTGTACTCTATGTTTGGAAAAAACAGACCTCTGCACCAAAACAGACATGACTATTTGTAAGGCTCAAGAGCCCTATGACAACTTTTGTGTTTCAACCTGACATTGTTCAAGTACCTATTTGACATTGCCAGAACTGCTATACAGCAGACATTTTCCTGCACTTAATTCAAGACATGCAAGACAAAACAGTGCCAAGAGCAGTGGAGAGACCAGAGCAAGCAAACAGTTGTGAGCCATTAGTTTTAGGGAAGATTGCAAAGCAGATTGAGGCCACAGACTAACACTCCCTTCCAAAGTAGATGGTCAGTGTTTCCAAGTTATCTAACACAGGTCATAGTGCTTCAATGTGCAGATCACCAAGGCAGTTTGTTCTGTTCAGGTGTCCTCTGAGAATTCCCTCTTTCCAGTTTAAGCACTAAACCCCTATCTTTGCTTCTCAAAGCTGACATAATCTTTTGTTTCAGTATCTGCAGGGCCATTTTTAAGAGCTCTTCTTTGTCCCTTGCATGGAATTCATTAGCTCCCCCCTCTCAGCATTATCCTGGACCATACCTGGGCATCATCCACATCAATTTCGATGAACACCACATCACCATACTTCTCACACAAACTCTAGAATAAAATAAGAAACAATGCAGGTAGTGTTCCAGGAAAGCTTTCTTTTAAAAGATACATTCATACAAAATGTACGCTGATGCTGCTTACCCCCCCAGTGAAGCTTGCCTTGTTACCTTATTTTACTGACCAGAGAAAAAATTATTTTCTGCTCCAATATCTGGAAGAGTCTGTTAAAACTTGTTCAAACATACTCCCCATAAAGAAGACTCAAATATCCCAATATAAAGTTAAATATAGCTATAACTCTATAGTCTCAAAGTACATATTTCTGTGACTTCTCCCTTTTCCAGAAAATGCTGGCAATCACATATTGCAAAAGGAAGTTTCCTCCACGTTATCATCAAGCAGCACAAGAACATTTGTATATACCTTAATACAGTTGCCGATAAAAAAGAAAAGGCTACTTACATGGAAGAAAGGCTTGATCATCTTGCATGGTCCACACCAGGTGGCAGAGAAGTCAACCACTACGAGCTTCCCACCAGCAGATACCAGTTCTGCCTCAAATTCAGACTATAAAAAAAAAGAATTGAACACATGAATGATTTTCCCTTTCCTTTCCCAAAATGATTTAGACTAATCCTAAAGCTAGCTTGCTCTCAGTCTTAATACACTAACCATTTTGGTAGCTCTAAACACTTAGCTGGGGTATTTGTACCACCATGTAAGTACTTCAGCATGAATTACTTTCATCTGTCCTAGCATCAGCCAGTCTTACAAATTAAATTAGAAAAGACCGCAATGCTCAGTCAGTCATCTCAATTCAGCAAGCTGTGGAAACATAAGCTAGAAATTCATCTAGCCTTACAATCCTCAACTCTTGCAGCTGTGTGCTCTGTTTAGTGTTACTCTCTGAATGTGATCCTTATCTTTCTTAATAAGAATTTTTCTCAATTCTGTCTTGGCATTTTCTGCAGACGAAAGTCTGTCCCAGAAGAATTTGAAAAGGACGCAAGCCTTTGTACACTCCTCCAGTTTGATGCCCTTTTCCAATCAATGGCTAACATTATAATGATGTTGTGTGGTTTACCGTACAGCATGTTTTCTAAAGCAACCTCACAGGACAGTTATTTTACTTATTTTGCCAAGTGAACGGACATATAACATCACTAGCCAAAGCAATGCTACACATACAGACTACAAAAGTGACACCCAATACTTTAGAGCTTCGAGTCTGATTGTTGCACTTAGTCACACCAACCATTTTTGGTGAATGTTCTCTGGAATCTAGAGCTCCTTACATGCCATTAACCATGTTTTCTGGTCAAAAAGTGAATGTTTTAGAGGAACTGAAAGACATTAAAAGCAATAAATACTTGCATGCTAGCAAGAGGTAAACAAGTATCTCAGGCAGAAGCAGAAAATGCTAATCAGCTACTTCCTGACAGTTTCTTTTCCAAAGCAAGTACAAACCACTTTAACATTCCTCAACTTCACTCTCATGGCAATGCATGCTTCAGGAGAGCTGTTAATATAAACTTCATTTCAGACTATGCATATAAAAGATAGCTGTTTCATTCTCCCCTACTTAACAGTCCAGAACATTAGTTCCAGGAGTTAACTAGTGCCAGCTTCTGCAATCAACCACAGTAAGTTGAGACTTGATTCTAGTAACCTTTTGCCCTCATTGAAGAATGCCATGGAGGTGAGGATCCAGAAGTGCACACAAACTGGTCACCAGTATATTTAACAAGCAAACAGAGGGTCCTGCACCAGCATTCTTATGTGTAAAACTATGCAAAAGTCTTAAGTTCCTATAACTTCAAATACACACAGCATGACATCTCCCTGTTGATAAGACATTTCTCCTCCCAATGCAGCTATCTTCAGAAGTGCAGCCTCCACATGCTGAGTTCTCCCATCCTTGCATCTTGGATATTCAGAGTCTACTCTGCTGTAAGATCAATAGCTAACACTCCACACCATCTACTCTCAGTCTGAAAGAGATGAGAACAGTAAGTTTTTCTCTCTCTCCACATTCCCCCATATTCCTGCACCCCAATCCCAGAAGTCCCCTATTCCCACCAATGAAGTTCAACATCCCTGCATACAGCAATCTGTGTTAGCTGCTCCCTGCAACTACTCATACTGTAAGTTCCTCAGGCAAGCCTCACTCCTCCCTACATTCAAATCCTACAGCTTGGGTTTTGATACAGCTTCTCACATTTCAGCACTGCAACATCACCAGCTCTTAACTGATTCCACTTCCTGCACCTGCCAGTTAGACCATCCTTCTCTTACCTTTAAGTCTTCTGTCCACCCGTGTAATTACTGTATTATGCAAAAGGCAGTCCAGCCCTGGCATGTGTTCATCATATGGCCACACATCTCAGGTTTGCTATTGCTCAGAACAAGGGGAAAGTGGGAGGGCATGATATCTGCAGCTGGTCACACATCATATACCATTGGAGACCTGGTCCTGACCACAATCAGGTGTCACCCTGCGAGTCATCTCTAGTATCAGCTAGAATTGCTGCGGGAGAGTGAAAAGAGATGTGGCTTACTCTTGCAAGTTAAAATATATTGAACTCAACTAGGGAGAAGTCCTGAAAGTTTTCCCAGAGAGCTTAATTTCCCTGGAAGAAGGAAGACAGTAACTGGGGGGAGGGGGAGCAAAACAAGCTACTCAACCTCTGTCCAACTGACTTCCATAGTTGTCTTTCACATTAACTGTGAAGTGACAAGCTTTCATATAAAAAACAAATTGTCTTTGTTAATAGAAGGGGAACCTCCCACCACAAAACCATCTGGTCACACTATTGGATCTTGCAGCCTTGTTAAACAATATTTTCTCCAGGTAGCACCCTACTGGGTGAAACCTGACCAGTGTTTGGGGTTTTTTTTGAACATTTAACTACAACCTGCCTGAGCACATACAAGACCTGACTTTGCTTGTATTGTCCTGCAGCAGAAAAGCACATGCTGCATTCAAAGACACTGGTAGCGGGCCTCTATTTCCAAGGGCCAATGGAAAAGACTCTAGTAATGAAAGCCTCCAGTGCAGCAGGGATTCCCAGCACCAGGTCATACCTCAAAATGGAGGCAACTGACCACAGACAGTGCTGAAAGGAGCCTACTGCTCTCAGCAATAGATAAGACCACTTTAATCAGATGTGCCAGATGGTGTGGACCTTAGCTGTAACCATGATTTCCAACACATACCAAGTCACCCTTGAACTTGGATTAACCCAGTCATCAGCTGACTGCCAACAGTCACTACATAATTTAGAGTTTTGTTTTTTTCTAATACAGAAGCTAGCATAAACAGACTGAAGGTTCAACTGCCTGAACTCTCTAGCAGATACCACTTCTAAAGCTACCATCTGCATCTGAAGCTGCAAGTTTTTACTATTCACTTTGACTCAAATAGAGGCAGCTAGTGTGAAGAGGAAAGCTCTGGCAACACCAGCTTAGCAGTTTATATACCCCATTAGCTTCTGCTGTAAAAAGCATTATGTCCTGTAATTAAACCCTGTTACAAGAGTCACCCATCTCACAACCACATACTTAAACCAACTGAAGTACTGCTTCTTCTGTCCACTAGCAGTGACTCAAAAGAGTCCAGTAAAGCACCCTGAAAGTAGCCATTCTTCAGAAGCTAGTCAGTTTCTGAAGAGGTGTGTTAGGAAAGGGGCATCTCACAGCTGTCATATTCACATTGCTTTACAGATGAGGATTTCAGGTTGCACTCACATACTATTCCATCTCCAGGATCTGAATGATCTTCACTTTAAGGAGCTTTCTGCATTCACAGGTGATTAAGCTGTGGTCAGAAGAATTAGTATGCTCCTGTCAAATGTTAACACCTTAGCAGTCCAACAGGGAAAGTCTGACATGCTTTTCATTTATACAGACTATAGAACAGCATAGCCTAGAAGACAAATTTGGATGCCATACAGCATCCCTCACAGGTCCCTTACAATCAGATCCAAATGACACTTCAATCAAATTTAAAGTTCAAAATGCAAGACTAGCCCAACAGGATTTTTCCTGAAATGAAGAGCTCACTAAATTTGCACAGAGAATATTTTTGGAGATTTGTGTTCATAAGTTAGACAACAATACAGTATTTGTTAGCTGTATCTACTATGTCAGCTGCTGTGCTGAAGAGCACACACTATTTCATCACCAGCAGATTATTCTTCATGTGTCAGTCTAGGCTTTATTACTATTCTGCATTACAAAGCCACAGACATGTTTGTATTCACAGAACCATCCAAACAATGAGGTGCTGCATTAGTGTACTGAACAAGTCAGACAGCACCATAACAAGGTAAATACTTCTTATGCCAGCAACTCCTGTTATTTAAGTACAGGAATGGTCTCTAGTAATCCCTTTCAAGTCAAGCAAACTGGATTCATGTTTTGCATGAACTCTTATCCAAAACTTACAGGAATTTAGGCCAATCTGTACTAAGAAAACCACCTGGTCCCCTACACACTGGCTGTACAATAAGGCAAGCCGGGACTTCTAAATTAGGGTCCTGTAGTACCCTGTTATCAGCTTGATAAATGAAACATGACATTGCCTTAAGATCTTGAAGGGAAATGAACAAGAATGTGTCATAACATGACATTACATCGTCTCTCTTCTCACTCTATCTGAAGCCTTGGGTAGTATAGTTATTTATTCTCTCCCTTTGGTCTAAGCGAGTTCCCCACAGCGGCAGCTGTGAAGCGGGCTGCCTCGCCGGGGCAGCGCCGGGACCCAGACTATGTCCCCAGCGCACGTGGGCTCTCACACGCCAAACCTCCGCGGGCTAAAAAGGGCAGCCCGAGAAGGGGCACCTGCTCGCCTGAGCGTCTCCGGGCGGCCGGGAGCGCCGCAGGGGACCCAAAAGGCCCGGTCCCTCCCCTCCCGCCGGGAAGG